TATGGAACGAATGTGTCACCATGAATGACATGACCAAGTATGTGTGTGTTGGAATTTATTTATTTCAATCCCCCCGCAATTTCGAATTACTTCTATTCTCAGGGAAATGAATCAGCAAGCACACACACACAAAACTTGAGTATTTCCGTAAAAGCAAAAAACAAAAAATATATAATGGGATTTTAATGTAAAAAATGAGAAAATAAAACAATTTAAAGTGAAAAATAAATAAATAAAAAAATATTGTGCGAAAATAACCGCAAAACAATAAACAAACAAAAAATAAGTTAAATAAACTGTGAAAAAATAAACAAATGTATGAATGTGTGTTTGTAGCTAGCCACCAGTATATCGGAGTAGTTCAAATAAGAATTGCGGCTTATAAGAAAAAAGCAAAAAACAAAACACAGAAAACTAGCAACAAGTCAAGGTGAGCTCTCAAAAAGGAAATACCAAAAGCAACAACGACAAACGGCAATAGTATGCAACAATATTTGGACAAGTGTTATAACTACACTTGGAAAAAAAAAATGGAATTAAAAAAATATATATTAAAAAAATAAAGAAGTAAATCAAAAAAATATATATATATATATATATTTTCAAGGGGTGGATTAAAAAAAATCGAGGCCTATCATAGGTGTGAATTTTGAAGCATATTTTCTTAAGACATGTCGTAGGCGTGATTTTTTTAAAAATGTTTTTGTGGGGCCTATCATAGGCCTGGATGTTTTAAAGTATTTTGTTAAGGCCTATCATAGGAGTTAATTTCTTAAACATATTTTTTAAGGCCTACCATAGGCCAGAATTTATTAAAATAATTTTATACAGGCCTATTATAGGCCTCGAGGTCTATCATTGGAGTGGATTTAATAAACATATTTTTCAAAGCTTATCATAGGCGTGAAATTATTACAAATATTTTCCAGAATAATCATAGGCGTGGACTCATTAAAAATATTTTTTCAAGGCTAATCATAGGCGTGGATTTTGACATTTTTTCAAAACCTATCAAAGATGTGCATTTCATTGAAATATATTTTTTGAGACCTTGTCCGTGGGCGAGTATTTTTTAAAATATTTTTTTTTCAAGGCCTACCAATAGGCGTGGGTCCCTCTTTCAACTCAAGCATCTTGGTCCCTCTTTCAACTCAAGCATCTCGATATACACAACGCCACCTGGATTTCTCCAGATCAAACAACGATAGATCAAATTGATCATGTTGTGATAGACGGAAGGCATTCATCCATTGTATTAGACGTTCGGTCGATACGAGGAGCGAATATCTGACCACTACCATGTAGCAGCCAAGATTCGCATTCGTCTTAATGTAGCAGCAAAGGTGCGATTTAACATAACACGGAAAATCGATGTCGAAAAGCTGCAAACACAACAGGTAGCAGAAGCCTACTCCGCTCAACTTACCCACCTGCTTGACGAAAGCACTCCTTGTCCTGAAAATAATATAGAAGCACAATGGCAAAGAATTGCCCACTACCCACAAACTGCAGCAAAAGCAACTCTTGGGTACCAATAATTCCGTGGTACGATCAGGAGTGTCGCAATGCTGCTGATGTGAAAAACGCAGCGTTTAGGGCAACCCTGCAGACAGTAGCAACACATAATGCGATGGAGAATTATTGGGAGAAAAGGAGAGAAGAAAAACGTATTTTCAGAAAAAAGAAGAAAGAACAAGAAAAACGTGAACGTGAGCAAATCGAAATGTACAGGAGTCATAATGAATTCCAGAAATTTTACCAACAGGTAAAACACATTCTCCTTTGGTGCATGCACATCCTCCTGTAGAGATACAGAAGGAAACCTTGTGACAGATACATACAGCGTGCTGAGGATCTGGAAGGAGCATTTATACCACCTAGCCAAGATGAGGTCAGGTCAGCAATTAATCGATGGGTTACCAGCCGAAATATTCAAAGCAGATGGTCAGATGCTTGTCAGGAGCATGCACCAGCTTTTTATTAAAAAAGTGTTATCTAGCGGGAGATACGACTGAAGCCAATGGTCAATGACATTATTGCACCATACAAATGCGGCTTTAGACCTGGCAAATCCACCATTGACAAGATTTTCACTCTGCACCAAATCCTGGAAAAGACCCACGAAAAATACATCGACCCAATCCGTTCAGAGGTATTTAAAGCCATGTCTACGTTCGGCATTCATGTAAAATAAATACGGCTATGCAGGATAACTTTAAGTGTCACAAGGTCAGCGGTCGAATGATCGGCATTGTCAAACGTATCGAACTGCAGGAACTACGTTGCCTAGGTCATGTTGTGAGAATGGATAAGGATGCCCAGCACAAAAGGCATACAAGAGCGAGTCTACTGATGGCTCACACAGAAGGTCGACTTTTTAAGGTATTCCCCATATAACAATAGCACCCAATATTCGTTTTTTAAGGCTTTTGAACATGTTTTACAATAATAATTTGATATTTCGGGGGTTCACTTGGTAGAAAAACTAAAAATTATAAATAGTTGCCCACTCTTTAGGGTAGATCCCATATAATGCTACATCCCGAATTTCGGTGTACTGGTTGTAATTTTATATTTTGGATTCTCATTGAGTAGGAAATCTCCCTAACAAAAATCAATATCAATATTGGCCCAAGATTCCGATATAATGGTTGATTCCCATTATTTGGTACTTTGAGCACGTTTTTCAACCGAATTGGCTTTAATTTGACACCCTATCAGAACCCAAAAACTCAAATTTTCCTACAAAAAATATCGTTAATATCGGTTTATATTTTGTATAGGTAAAGGTCTTGTCCTATTCTTGGTACTTTGAAGACTTTAGTCAAATTTTTCTTAACAAAAAGGCTCAAATTTAGGCTGGCAGTCATATAAAGTCCGCCCAATTTTCGATATTTTGAAAACGATTTAATTGCATTTTTGCATAGCCCCTATATAATAGTCTTACACCATTTTCACAATTTTGAAAAGGTTTAAGGCGCATTTTCTTACACTGTAATTTGACTTTGAGGATTCCTGGGAATATACATACCTCTTCACAGAAAAGTTGCGATATAGGTCCATTTTATTAAATTAAATTAAAAGTGCAGTTTTTAGCCCGTTTTTTTCAATACCAACATAAAGCGTTCTAGAATCTGATGTTTAACATTTTTTCCAATTTTTTCTCGAAGTGCTACAAATTTGTATACCCTACACCACACTGTGGTACAGAGTATTATGTTTGTTTTTTTTTTTCAGAAATGCGTAGGTTCAACATGTAATCATTTTAAGTTTCTTTTTTACTGCCTGTCAATCATCGGTTGTGGCAAATTTTGAGATAACGAATACCGACAGCGACAATGACGAAGGAGGAACACAAAAACAAAATGAATAGTAAACCAGAAGTCGTTAAGACAATAATAACGATCTGAAGATATGAAAAAAATACAGCAAACTTAAGAAAAAAACAATTGTTTGCCTTCTTCGCAGCATGAAAGGTGATTATTTATTGTAGAGAGGAAGTATGAAAGTGCGGGTGGTAATACAAGCGTTTGTTTTGTGGTTGGCGGTTTGCTGCAGACTGCAACCTGAGCAATGGGAAAATGCAAACAGATGAACTAAATTTTCCCTGGAGTTTTATAAAAATACTTGTGTAGACCCATAAAAATATTTTTTGAAAAACCACGACTTGTGTAGGTGCTCGAAAAAATATTCTTTAAAAAATCCACGCCTTGTGTAGGTGCTCGAAAAAATATTCTTTAAAAAATCCACGCCTTGTGTAGGTGCTCGAAAAAATATTCTTTAAAAAATCCACGCCTTGTGTAGGTGCTCGAAAAAATATTCTTTAAAAAATCCACGCCTTGTGTAGGTGCTCGAAAAAATTATTCTTTAAAAAATCCACGCCTTGTGTAGGTGCTCGAAAAAATATTCTTTAAAAAATCCACGCCTTGTGTAGGTGCTCGAAAAAATATTCTTTAAAAAATCCACGCCTTGTGTAGGTGCTCGAAAAAATATTCTTTAAAAAATCCACGCCTTGTGTAGGTGCTCGAAAAAATATTCTTTAAAAAATCCACGCCTTGTGTAGGTGCTCGAAAAAATATTCTTTAAAAAATCCACGCCTTGTGTAGGTGCTCGAAAAAATATTCTTTAAAAAATCCACGCCTTGTGTAGGTGCTCGAAAAAAGTATTCTTTAAAAAATCCAAGCCTTGTGTAGGTGCTCGAAAAAATATTCATTAAAAAATCCACGCCTTGTGTAGGTACTCGAAAAATAATTCTTTAAAAAATCCACGCCTTGTGTAGGTGCTCGAAGAAATATTCTTTTAAAAATCCACGCCTTGTGTAGGTGCTCGAAAAAATATTCTTTAAAAAAACACTACCTCTTAAAATGTATTTTCTTTACTAGTTCCATTCATGTGGATTGGTCCCCCTGACGTCTACATTTAATTGCTATGCTGTTTGTGTATTAAGTCTTTTGTTTATTTATTTATTTTTTTTCTCTCATTTTTATTATTCTTGTTACGGATCTCCATGCAAAATTCGAAATTAAAATAATGACCAACAGCCCTTCCCCCTCCTCTTCCACACGTCATGCACGCATTTAATTATTATGTAGAGGTTTGTGTCTTAAGTCTTTTGTTTTATTTGATGTGTGTGATTTTTTGCTACCTTTTTTCAGGTGACATTTGATAAGGGAAGGGGTGAAGGGTCATATGTATGTGAATATTCTGTGTTGTTTTAGTTTGTGTTTATTATTTTTGTTGTAATCCATTGTTGTGATTTGTACTGGATTTTTTTTGTTTGTGTTTTGTTTGACTAACGTAAATTAAAAACAAACTGGATTTCGTATGTGTCAATGTATCAGCGGAACATATGAGATCATTTTTGTATTAAAAAATATATATCGTACACTCACAAGCTATAAGATTTTTTTCTTTGCAAAAAATTAAAATTTTTTTCTGTGTACTTTTTTGGTAAAAATAAATTTATAAAAAAAATGAAAAAAAAAACTTGGAATACAAACCCTTGACCAGAATTTAAATGCACCAAAAGTGACAATATTATAAAGCACTGATGTTTCACAAACATTTTGTTATTGTGTTTATTTTACTGTTGTTGCTGCTTGGCTGGCTAAGTTATTCGGAATAAAAATTGACTGTCGTCTTGCGTCGCTGTGTCGCAATGCTGGGCAACGTTGTTACGCTCTCGTTAACATTTAGTTTTAGATTTTTTGTTTTCGTATTGTCTTTGCGAAATTCTTAAATCGTTGAGGTATGACTGACAACAGACAAAAAAAATAAAAACAGATTTTTATTATAAAAACAGCAACAAAAAGATACTCATACACCAACACAATCAATAATTTTTTTCTTTCAAAACAATTTTTTTAGGAATTAAAAACCACTTCAATCGGATATTTTATAGCATTTCATATCGAATTTATTTCATTTTTTTATTCATTCATCATCACATTGATTCATCGATAATTTTGTGTGAGTGGGTAGCCGCCTCTCAGACTAACACACAACCACGCAAAATATGATTTTTTATCTGCGGAATCTTAGATTCAATTCTGATTTTGTTAAGACACTGACCACTATTGCTTTTTGTTTTTTCCTAAGAATTAAATATTTTTTTCTTTCTTCACAATTTCTGGATTTTTTCGGATCTGTAATTACGTTCGGTTCGTTTTCATGTGCCGCGTTCTTCGATTTTTCTCTATACGTTGTTATACGACACGAGTCTTAGCCACTACTAAACTCAAAACCTGGCTAACATGGCTTAATTCTGGTAGAAGTCTCCACGTTGTGTGGAGCCCACACACTCACAAAAGCTTAGACTCTTTACAAAATAAAGAGAACGAGAGAGAGAAAGCTAAATAACAGTGGGCCAAACCAAAAAAAGTGAGTGGAGTTTTTAAAGAATATTTTTTAGGCACCTACACAAGGCGTGGATTTTTTAAAGAATATTTTTGCGAGCACCTACACAAGGCGTGGATTTTTTAAAGAATATTTTTGAGACCCTACACAAGGCGGGGATTTTTTAAAGAATATGTTTGAGACCCTACACAAGGCGTGGATTTTTTAAAGAATATTTTTGAGACCCTACACAAGTCGTGGATTTTTTCAAGAACATTTTTTCGAGCACTTACACAAGGCGTGGATTTTTTTAAGAATATTTTTTCGAGCACCTACACAAGGCTTGGATTTTTTAAAGAATATTTCTTCGAGCACCTACACAAGGCGTGGATTTTTTAAAGAATATTTTTTAGGCACCTACACAAGGCGTGGATTTTTTAAAGAATATTTTTCGAGCACCTAAAAAAGGCGTGGATTTTTTGAAGAATATTTTTTAAGGGCTCTACACAAGGCGTGGATTTTTTAAAGAATATTTTTTAAGGGCTCTACACAAGGCGTGGATTTTTTAAAGAATATTTTTTTAGGGCTCTACACAAGGCGTGGATTTTTTAAAGAATATTTTTTTAGGGCTCTACACAAGGCGTGGATTTTTTTAAAGAATATTTTTTTAGGGCTCTACACAAGACGTGGATTTTTTAAAGAATATTTTTTCAGGGCTCTTCACAAGGCGTGGATTTTTTAAAGAATATTTTTTCAGGGCTCTACACAAGGCGTGGATTTTTTAAAGAAAAATTTTTTGGGCTCTACACAAGGCGTGGATTTTTTAAAGAATATTTTTTCAGGGCTCTACACAAGGCGTGGATTTTTAAAGAATATTTTTTTAGGGCTCTACACAAGGCGTGGATTTTTTAAAGAATATTTTGGGAAGCATATTTTTTATTCCGATTATCGTGAGGAAAATAAATTCTTAATTATAATTATCGGTTGTATTTATTTATTATATATTCGAAATATCAAATAATTTCTAACAATTTATATGCCATATAACACAGTGGATCGTTTTTCGGTATTATAGTAATCATAGATTGTAATGGGTGTGGGTTTCAAATCATCCACGGTATGTAACTTATTGGCGAAAATATCAAAGGAGCTAACCTCCCCATCCACCAGACACTCAAAATAGACCACAATGATGGTGTTATCATTTTTCGTATCAACCCTTTGAACGCGTAGAGCATTTCGAATTCCATCCAAATTATCCACATGAGTACTGTATCCCGATGGTAGGCTGATTTCCATTACAACCATATTTGATTCCTTCCTTCCACCATTCGATTGAGGTTTATACGCAGCACTAACATTCATTGAGAATTGACCAGGTAGAGGTGTTGCCTTGGGTGTATACTCGATATGGAAATTGGGTTCAATTTCAGGAACATTGATGTTATAATGATAGGATAATTGTATTAAGGCAGATGAACCCTCGGCACCATTGGCTGTGAAGCTTACACGGCGTGTTGATTTGGGTAACTGAAAGAATGAAGGATTTAATTTGATTTTATTTAAAAATTTATTATCTTTAAAAATTGCAGTACCCACCACATGACTTTGTAAAATGAAAGAGTTCTCCTGATCCACATCAAACTGACCGCTGGTTGTTTCCACACCCTTTTCGTCCAGAGCCTTAAATTGAATTTGAAGTTTTCCACCATCTGCACCACCACCAGCCGATTTTGGTGAATATTTTTCGGCAAATGCCACTAAGGCCTTGAGACCCACCACGGTGTCCTGTGTCGAATCAAAGCCACCCAAATTATTACGCCGACCAATTAGCCATTTTAGAATTGGTAGAATGCTACCCAAATCCTGCTCAGTCTCCAGCAGGGCTTGTAAAATATAGGCGGTAACTTCAATGTCATTGTTTGTGTCCTTCGTCTCCGTCGTATCATTGGACCACCATTTTAAATTATTTTCCAAATTCGATTTCAATTGAAGCTTCTGACGTACACTATCGGTCAAGGGATGATTAGTTTTTTGAAATACCAGCAACATGAGGGCCAGGGAATATAAATTATCTTCACTGTCAACGTGAGCGGCAAGATATTGCAAGGACTTGTGGACTCGCTCCTTATACTTCGTGGTATATTTCTGAAAGGAGGTTAGAAGGATTAAAAACAAAAATTAATTTTGGGGGATTATTTAGGAGTGTTGGTTTAGGGGAGGAGTTTTTTTTTGAAAGAGTTTCGAAGTTTTTTTTAAGATTTTTTGTTTGGACATCATTCGAAGGCGTAGATTTTTAAAGAGTATTTTTGTTCAGTGACCACTGCAAGTGAAGATAAAACAAAATATTGGGGACCATCTCCACCTGTGGACTTTTTAAAGACAATTTTTTTACATAATTCAAAAAGGTAGGGTTTTGTAAAGAATGTTTTTTTTTTTGGAATCATTACAAAGTGTGGTGAATGATTTTAAGGAATATTTTTCAGGGACCATTTACTATCGAATCGAATTTTCCAATACATATTTCAAAAACCATTATTAGCCTGAATTTTTTTTCAAAAGAATGCAAATATGATATATATAATATATAATTTAGATAATTTCAGCGACTATTCAAGGTTGTGAATGGCGGAGTGGAATTTTTAAAGGCTGGAGTTTTTAAGAATAGTTTTTCAGCACCAGATAGGGTATTTTGTCTTTTCTTAGTCATCGATTTCTTAAAAACACAAATGGTCTTCATAAGACTTGACGATTTTAAATAATTCTTCGAGGTTGTTCTGGAGCGGAGTTCTTAAAAAATTTATTTTTCAAAGCCCTTTTTAGACCTTAATTTTTTAAAAGAATATTTTTTTCAGGGACCATTGAAGGTTGTGAATGGCGGTGTGAGATTTCTAAAGGGTGAAGTTTTAAAGAATATTTTTTCTGGATCCGCACCGAAGTTGATGTTGTTGATTAATTTTTTTCATTGTATTTTTTTAGTCGTAGACTTGTTAAGAGTTTTCCTTTAATTACAGCCATTAGGCTTGAAGTTTTAAATAATTGCTTAGAGGCACTTCTCAGGCCTTGAGTTTCAAAGAATATTATTTTTTCAAGGTTCTTCTATGGAAGTAGGGTTTACTCGTATATATTTTTAAGTTGCTTTATAGGCCTGAATTTTTAAAAACAAATATTTTTAGGGACAATTTGAAGTTGTGAATGGGGGTATGGGATTTATAAAGGTTGCAGTTTCGAAAAATGATTTTTCAAGACTCACACTAGAGTGGTTAAGTTTTTAATGAATATTTGTTCATGGTGTTTTCGTAGTCGCCAGGATTTTTAAGGATCTTCCTAACGGTCTTGAAATTTGAAATAATTGCTTCAAGGTACTGCATAGGCCTGGATTTTTTTTCAATGCGCTTCTAGAAGCGTAGAGTATACTCTTATATATTTTTAAGGTGCTTTATATGTCCTTTTATTAAAGAATATTTTTAGGGACCATTTAAGGTTGTGAATGGAGATTTTATGAATACTTTTTTAGGACCCAGACCAGAAAAACATATTTTCAAGGCATATATAAGGCGTTGATTTTTTAAAGAATATTTTTTCCAAGACATATATAAGGCGTGGATTTTTTAAAGAATATTTTTTCCAAGGCATATTTAAGGCGTGGATTTTTTAAAGAATATTTTTTCTAAAGCCTATATAAGGCGTGGATTTTTTAAAGAATATTTTTTCTAAAGCCTATATAAGGCGTGGATTTTTTAAAGAATATTTTTTCTAAAGCCTATATAAGGCGTGGATTTTTTAAAGAATATTTTTTCCAAGGCATAGAGATTTTAAGGAATATTTTTCCAAGGCATAGAGTTTTTATAGAATTTATTTTCAATGTCCTTCTCAAGCCTGATTTTCTTAAATAATATTTTTAGGGACCATTCAAGGGTGTGAATGGCGGCATGGGATTCCTAAATGGTGGAGGTTTTATGAATACATCTTCAGGATCCCCATTAGAGTGGTTAATTTTCAATGAATATTTGTCCTTAATGTTTTTCTAGTCGTGGATTTTGTATGAATTTTTTTAGGGATCTTCAGAAGGCTTGACATTTTAAATAATTCCTTCGAAATACTTCTTAGGCCTGGAGTTTTTAAGAATATTTTTTTTTTCAAGCTGCCTCTAAGGGAGTAGTGTTTACTGTAATTTATTTTTGAGGTACTTCAAAGGCATGGATTATTAATAGATTTTTTCAAAGCCCTTCTTAGGAACGAATTTTTAAAAGAACATTTTTTGGGGATCA